AAATAGTCTGAAATGACATGTGTACTCTCAGAAAACTTTGGTTTCTGTATACTAAACTTCAATCTACATGATATGACATAGTCAAAAATGAATGCAAACAACTTTACCACCAAGGATGTAAAGTTGTTTGCACATATTGAATAATTAGTAAATAGTCCCTACCTAGCTCTGCCACTTCTGGTCCAAATGACATGGTTTTTCTTGCAGTATGCACTCTTTGATTGTAGGATCATCATTAGATAATGTGTTCAGGGTTTAAAGTAGATATCCAAATATGGTAAGCTAATAAAAATAGTCATAACATGGCAGAGAAATCAGAGAAAATTGAGGATGGTGCTGATTAATAGTGATGATGTCAATTTTAAATAGACTTCCAAATAAGAAATATTGCTCATTGATGGTGATGATACTGAGGTACTCTGCTTGAAGCCCAGAGTGACACTCAAATAGAAAGATATACTAGTTTGTGAAAAATATAGCTACAAATCCAGAAAAAAAGCAAAAAGAAAGCAGAAATGGGTTACTACCACTCTTGCAAAATAGGACTCATTCCTGCCATGCTTGCAATGGCCTCTTACACAAGTAAGAGAGTGGGGGGGTATGGTGGGCGAACCCGCTGGCCGCAGCGCCAGTTTGTCTTCCAAGTGTCTTGCGTCATTTACATGTTTCCTAGAAGAAGTGGTGCTACCTGTCAAATTTCCTCGGATTCCAAGTGAGACACGTCACCTATGGATTCCCCGAGGGTCTTCTTGAATCTGGCTGTCCTTCCCACAAACTTAAGTAACTCCTTTATATATTACATAATTGGCATGTCATTGCCCAAGTTATACCTGAAAATACTGCAACTCTGTCATATCTACTCCAAATTATGTCAAATAAAATGGATAAATAATATACAACTGCAAGCAATATAATTACATACATTGTAGTAGTATGCATTACATAATTGGTTCTCAAAAAGAAAAAAGCATCTATACATGTATTCACAAGAAATGCTGCAACTTACTGGATACCACTTATACAAAATCACAGTAAGTGTTCACAAAATGTCTCAATCCAACACTAATGACTTACCTGCCTATGTCCTATGCCTCCTGAGCATACATCACAT